GCGCGTGACCGCACATGTGAGCTTGATTTTTTTTTTTAATGAGTCAAGCGCGTGAAAATTCTTTTGATAATGGGTGGCGGAGAGACTCAACTCAGGACCTCTGCATGCTCTGAAGCCATATTGAATGTGTGTGACCAACTCATCTAAAACCTAATCCGTTAGAAAGAGCACACTTTTATCTATTTTATTATTATCTTAATACTATCCTCCCCAGACCCCATGATGTGGGATAATACTGGGTATGTTGTTGTTGTTGTTGTTGTTGTTATTGTACTAGCTATAGGATGAAGTAATATGAAATAGAAGTTAACTATATATCAAACAATGAACTATGCCGTAGTTCCCAAATTAGTTGGGTTGGATATATGATTTTTTGTATCATATCTGTTATCTTCAGGTCAAATGTCATTCCAATACTGAATAATAGGTCTTCTACGCACGCCAGAGTTCTCTAAAATACAACTTCTTGAAATCTCACAGGTATCCCGTACAAGTTTTTGTAGGAAAAGAAAGGAGTGGAATGAACTTATATTTTTCTGCTTCTTTGCTGGAACGCTGCAAGTTTTGATAGACGCTGAAGCTTATATAAGCGTAGAGCAACAACTAATTCTTAATTCCGCCTTGTTGGTATCGTTGATACCGTTGTGTTCAGTCCTTAGCTAAGTCCACATTGATTACTCAGATAATTCCACATTGTGTTCGTCATCAACCCTTTTAATCATCGTATTATTGCACCTATGTACTAGTACAACTGAGATCTATGCAGAATATGCCTAAACCAGCTCAGACAATATCTCCTAATAAATCGACGGAGATTCGTTGGAGAATTAGAAGTCAAAAATTCCGACACAGTTTTTGATGAGATTACCCAAAAAAGGGGAGGGGCCACTGTTGTAGCTATTGTCAAATATTGATAGACGTCATATTAGGCTTTATATGTAGTATTTTGTTTGGCGGTGGTTTGTTTTGTTTTTCTGGGCTTGGACAAACAATATCGAAGTACTTCGTCAGAGAATGTAGGCTCTCTCCCTATTTCTTTTGGGTTAATGTTGTGTATATTGAAGGAAAGGTTACAAGTTTCAATTCTTGAACCATAATCATACAATCCATTCTTCACTTTGTCAGCGTGCTTTATTGATGCTGTGCTGATCATTGTCGGGTGGTACAAGTTTGATTAATTTGAGAAATTTACCCCAAAAGAAAAAAAATACTAAATCATTAAATGTTTTGGTCTCTTGTTTTAGTATTGCCCATGCTATGCATGACTTTGCTAAGGCATTCGTGCTAATTCTGATGAAAAATGTATATCTAATTGGTTGACTAACTAACAACTGATCTTTGTAGTAAAGGACACTAGGCTGTTCATAAGATGTTAAAATTAGTCGTTAAAGTATCACAAAACAGTATAATTTGGAGAAACCTCATCCAGATATCTTCCGTTGATGTAGGAACTTTTATCTAAACCAGCCTGTGTTTCAGCATGTAGGTCCTTTGGCTATAAATATTATTCAACAATATATTCCTTCTTTTTTATAAGGCATTCAACAATATATTCCTTTATGTACTTATCCAAAAAAAAAAACCTTTGTGTCTGCTAGTCCTTTTCCTGAACAAAAACTTGTTAGTTCTCTAGTGACTGAGGACCTCTGTTGCGAAATGGCTGCTTAGTGTACATACTTCTTTTTCTCTTGTTTCTGGCAAATTATTTCTTATTGGCTTCTCATGCTACTTCCAATTTTGCAGTCACAATTAACAGAATTTCGGTCATATGAAGGACAAGATATGTACACTGGCGAGAGAGTTGTTCCTATCAAGGTTTAGCACAATTGTCTATGTCGATATTAATAACATTATGATGAAAGATAATTTATTCCAAAAGAAATGAAAGATACCTATCTTTCTGACTTTGATGGTCACAACTGTTGTGGTATCATTAATGAGGTACTTGTATTTTTCTCTTTCCTTTTCTTTTCCGGGCTCATTCAGCTTGATCTCCGAGTAAATCATACAGTTATCAAGGACCATTTTTTCTGGGTAAGTTTGACTAAAAGGTTATGTCTCATTCTTGAAATATCTTGATATATGTATAAGAACTGTGATCAAACTTGCAATTACTCTGCTTCATATGTTGCTAATACAAAGAGAAATCAAAATAATTTCAGGACTTGAACAATTTCGAGAGTGATCCTGAAGAATTTGCACGGACTTTTTGTAAAGATATGGAAATTGAAGACCCAGAAGTTGGAGTAAGCTCTATTTTTTTTTATTTTGCTTTCCTTTGGTTGTGGTAAAATAAAATTTCCCCCCTTTTCATTGCATATTCTTGTAAATTTGATGGTCATCATCATGTGATATAGTTTTGTGTGATGGGGTTGATGAAGTTAAAGGGTTTTGGGGGGGGGGGNGTGTTCCTTTTGCTACTTTTTCTTCCCATTTTTGTTTGTTTATTTTTTGGAGTTAACTGGAGTGTATATCAGCTGGAGACGACTTAGCCCTGTGCCCTTAAGATTCTACCTTCAAATTCCATGGTACTTCCACATCTCTGATGCGTGATATTGAATATTTTTGGTTCAGTGTTTGCAGCTTTTAAACTTATGCAGATAAAACTAACCTCCCTCCTATTTTGCTACAATTAGAATGATCTTCTGTAATTTGTAAAAGGAAAAAGCTGTTCAAGGGGAATCGTAAAGTCAAAATGCTACTAGGTCTCATTTCTTGAAAATCTTGTGAGGGAAATTTTAGCAAAATGCTCAGTTCCTTTATCAAGAATTTGGCCTAGTTGTCTTTGATGTTGGATGTATCTGGCATAAATATGCCATCATATAATTCCAACTCTCTTTAACCACTGATAGAGTTATGAGGATATGGATTTTGGTTAATTGTTTTTAACTAAAGGAAACAGTTATGTTTGCTGGAAGTATAATAAAATATCAACTCTTTGTTTTCTTGTTTTCACCACAAGCAAGAAGTGAGACTAATAAATATATTTTTTCTGTTTTCTTTCAAGTTGAATATTGGAAGGTAATGAATAATGTAGAAAAAGAGGTCTTTAAAAAAAAATTATGGACACACATATTGGGCTGTGCTCAAAAGAATAGTCTAGAGATTGTGTTGCACATAAGAAACAAGTAATTTATAAGGTAATTGTCTTGGTATTGCCATATTACATCCTTCTTTTCCCCGGTCTCTTTTTTGTTATACTGGTTATAAGAAAAGATTGCTTATTTTGATTCAGCTGTGTGAATCCCAGCTAGAGCGATTTGTCTTGAACTTGCTTTCTTTTTTACATTTTTGTCAGAGAGTTAAGATCCAATCCGTAATTGGAATTGGACGAACAAGACTACAATAAAGAGCTTTTGTTAAAATTAAACAGAAAGATTGTAATTTCTATTTAAATAGTAATCATTCAACAGGGATGTTAAACCTCTAGGCATTGTAGGCCTTTGCATTAAATCTATGTTCATGTATAAGTAAACTTTCCTTATGTAGCTCAGTTTTTAAATGAGAACTTCATCCCATTGAGAGAGTATTTTATCTGTAGTTGTTTCTTCTCTGAAAGTATTAAATTCTAGTTGTGTTAGTAGTTTGTCTTTATCACTTTTTACTTATAGAAACTAATCACTGGATGATATTTCCTTTACAAAAACAGTTTTTTACTTTCCTCCCTAAAATCTTTTCAACTATGTGAGACTGTCCTTTTCAATATCCTTTTTATTTGAAAAACCGTCGATGCTTTCTTCTTGATAGTTGACTTCTTTCTTTGCAGCCTGCAATAGCCATATCAATTCGAGAACAACTTTATGAGGTGAGGATATATCATTCTTCATTTGGTGTATGTGACCTAATTGTTTCTACCTGTCTTTCAACCAGTTCATAGTTGAAAGCCAGCTACTTCAAGGTCTGTGACCATTTTTGCCATTTAATGTCTGCAGATTGCAATGCAAAGTGTTGCATCCGCAAGAGAAAGTAGGGCAAATAAGAAACGCAGAGTGACGGAACATATCTCAGCCAGGTTAGCATGATTGATCTCTGGCTTCTGCTGTATATACCCATCTTTGTTTAATCTAGTCATATGCCCTTGCACTATCCTTAGGACTTCTCTTTCCTAATAATTATCTTTTTGACAGTAAGACAGGTGTACCTGCATTGGACCTGGTGAAGTTATTTGGCATTAGATCAAGTGTTGTTCGGTACGACTCTTTCTTTTCTTCATACATTTCCACTCAATAAAATATGAAAGAGAAAAGGAAGTTGGATGTTCTGGAACGAGGATGTTTTATCTGTATTTCAATGCAATGGTATCTCATTAGCACATACTCGATATCAGTTAGTCAGAGACTCCATTTGGTCCGGGTTTTGAATTCATTCATTTCAAATGTGACTATTTCAGAAAAAGGAAGGACTGGGATGTATATGAACCAATTGTTGATCTCCTTTCAAATGAAGAGGTGGATGCCCTCGAGGCTAGAGAAGAGAAGATTACTCGATGATGCAGTCAATGCCCATTGAAGGAATACCAGCATTTGAAAGAGAAATCGTGTTAAGTTTTAGATGATACAATGAAACTAAATCCTAGTCTTAGTTCAGCCAAAATCCCATGGTAGTTATAGATAATGTTTAGATTTTAACATTGATTCGCAGATCGCTACATAGGTTTGTTGAAAGCAACACTTCAGTGTCCTGTGTTAATGTATCTTCACCGCGCTGAGAAACTAATGATAGCTAATTTAGTTGTGTTCTAAATCCTGCTATATTCGTAAGAGCAACCTACTTTGTATTTTTGGCATACAAAGGATGGAAACAAAGACTGTTGATGGACCTGGTTACGGCTGGGACCCTGTACTACGCTCATTTCTTAGTTGATGCCTCGTCATCAGTCGTAGACTACACACTACGGCATGTTGTACTTGTACATGACGAGACCCTCTTACATTTTTAAAAAATAAATTATTGTCACCATTATGGTAAGAGGTTAGACATAGAACATAGATTTGATTGAAACTTGAAAAAGAATTTTTGAAAATTGAAGTTGTGCTTGGACATGCATTTTATTTGAAGAAAAGTTTGAAGTTTTATGGGTGGAAGAAAAAACACCAAAAAACTGCCGTAAACCATTTTTTGGTAACTTGAAATTTTTTGAAACCCCCCTCCCCCTAACAAAAATATGTTCATATTTCATAAACAAATAATGTTTTCAAATTTGTTTTTGAAAAAATGAAACTAAAAATTTATGATCAAACGGGAGCTAATAATCACCCGGCAAATATAGGAAAGGGACAATAATTCTGTCCAGTTCCTGGTAACCAAAGATATGGCATCTAAGGGAAATATTACATTGGGGGTGGTGGGGAGGGTTAGCTTATAATACATGTTTGGGGGTACATACCAATGAGTGAACCATTTACCAAAAATTTTATACATTAAAAAGGTTCTTTTCAGTTTTGATCCTAAACAAAATCTTCAAGGCGTCTTTCGCCTTTCCAGGTAATGTGTCAACCTCAATGAAGATAGCTGAGGACCTTGCTTTGTATGCTCCTGTTAATTTGGAGTTCACTCAAACACGAGAAGGGGTTCATTTGTGTCTCGTCATTTTTACGATTTCGAAGAATCTGATTTTTTGAACTGACTATCCTGACACAAACAGAAAGTTAAATTGTAGAATTTAACTAACTTCAATGAACAGTTTTAGGTTACAACTCTATAACCAAGGAGACTACGATATTATTTTTTTTAAAAGATTAAGACGTGTGAATCTGAATATCAAGATGTGTATTAAGATTAAGACATTTGAATCTTAGTACACATCTGAATATTAAGATGTGTTTTAAGATTTGAATACTAAACGATTAAGACTTTTTTTTTAAAGATCTGAATTTATAGAGTTTATCTTTATTTAAATATTAATAAACATAAATTCAACTATAATACTAATTAATCTAAAATATATACATACATATATATATATNTTATGGTTGAGGATGATAGTGATGAGTGGTGATAGTTAATAATGGTGAGTGGTGATGGTAGTTGTAGTTGTGATTGAGGAATGTAGTGGTGGGTGGTGGTAGTTTATAGAGGTGGCAAACGGGCAGGTCGGGTCGAAAACGAGTAATGCAAAAATGGAGAAATTATCTTACCCGACCCAACTTATATTTAATACGGATAAAAAATGGATTAACTAGCGGATAATATGGATATCCATATTATCTATAACTTCTTGAATATGATTACTCACAACTAGAAAATGGGCCTATGGCAACATTTATTTTTGCAACGGTTCTCAAACCGTTGTCGTAGACCACATATCGTAACAGTTGCAACCGTTACAATAGAATTTAGATGATATCGGCATTCGACACACTACAACTATAAAACCATTGCAATTGTATCAGAACCGTTGCCAAAACTATTTTTATCGCAACAGTATTATAAACCGTTCCAATAGAACTATTTATGACAACATTATATAGGAAACAAATCTATTGGAAAGTTATTTANAATATTAGGTTAAAGCTTTTATTTTGCCCTTGCCGCACTAATCCGTCGGTGCATCCAAAATCATATATCCAAAATCAAAACCTATCCTTTCACAAAATCCTCTTCTCTCACAAAATCCTCTTCTCTCTTTCACTCTAAACTTCCAAAATCCTTCCTCTTACAACAATCAAGGCAACATTGACCCAAGTCTCCATTTCCCCCAATGATATTATTTGCTTGATGGTTAATTTATATTATTAATAGTTTCATTTTATGATTTATTTAAATTTTAATGTTATTATAATTTATTATATAAATAAATATTTATTTATAACAGGGGCTATATTTTTATTTTAACTGAACTGTTACATAGCCTACCAGAACCGTTGCAATAGGACACAAATGACGTTCCATTAGACAATATAAACCATTGCAATATGTCCTATAAACCGTTCTAAAATGATCTATAAACCGTTCCAATACAAATAAAATTGTTATGATAGCTTAAAGAAACCATTGTTATATCCATTCATAATCGTAACAATAGCTTACACAAGTATTGCATTAAATAATATGGTAACGGTTAAGAACCGTTACATACACAATATAGTAACGGTTTTAAACCATTCCAATTGGAAAAAATAATCGTTCAAATAGAGAAAGGGAAAACAGTTGCGATAGACGTATCTAGAGCCACGACGATGCAAACCGTTGCAAGAACTGTTCCTATAGACCTATTGTCACTGTTGATACCCAATTTTTCCTCAAATTATTTTTAAATTTGCATATATACCTTCAAAATCACTTTTTATAATAATTGATATTTTTCCATATTATTATCAATTTATTTTTCTAATTTATTCAGTACTTTATATCTAATAATTATTCATAAGTTACATTACAAGTAATTTCAAAGTATTTCTTAGCTCAATATATTATTTTTAATACTATTAGGATTTAATTATTTTACAAATTAGCCAATTCGGTATTGTTTGGCTATAATTACAATAATTTTGCAATTATAGCCTAAATGTACACTTTATGCTATTTTAATTCAATAATCAGTCATTTTATATTTTAAATATTAGTTAATTACCTTAATTTTACCTATTTAGATTTAATTTCATTTTATCTAATTATTATCTATTTTTATTAATTATTTATCTAATTTTAATAGGTATTTAACAATTAGCCATTCTTATTTAAATTACATCCTAATTAAATATGGTCCAAATTAAATAACCCACCAAACCCCAAGCCCAATACCCTATCCTACTCAGCCCAATACCCATTCCATCTGAGTCGTTGATTATTTTGAATCAACGGTCCAGATCAACCCCTTCCTAATTTAACCCCTTAATGACTACCCCCGTCTCTCACTCCCCCCTCTTCATTCTCTCTCAACCGGTCTCTCTATCTCCCTCTCTATTTCTGGTTCTCTCTAGAACCTTCTCTTCTCCCCTCCTCTCCGATGGACCCTGTCCACCTTTTCCGGCCACCTCCCTCGCCGGAAACCATAACCTCTCATCATCTCCTGGCCTCTGTTTCACCCCACATAAGTTTGACACTACCCTGAGGTCCTCAGGTGAACCTGGAGCGGTTCAAATCCTACACATGGTCCTTCATGCCATTTTCCGGCCATCTCCGGCCATGACTCTTCCGGCTAAAACCGATAATATTTTAAGGTTTTCTCATATTCTCTAGGTTCTCTTAAACCCCAACTCTTAAGATTTTCCGATTTCTTTTAGATATGTATTAGATCTGTGTATATTATGAGCTTTTTGTTGTTTTCCTCAAAGGTTCTTCCGATTTTTCTAAAGTAATTCTTCATCTGCAACTAGGGTTTTAACCCTTTTTTCAAAAAAAGCGCTTTTCTTCTGATTTTTTTGGTATTAATCTACGACTATCACTGTGTTTAAACGTTTGTTTGAGCCTTCTCCTTTATCCGAGTTATTCTATTGAAAACCCTAATATTTTCTTAAGTTTCTGAGTTCGTCTTGGGTGTTATGTTCAATTAATCTGTGTATTTCTTATGAACGTTCTGTAAATTCTTGATTTGTATGGTTTTTACCCTATGTGTGCTTGTTAGAGTTGCTGATTTTAGTCTATTATGAGTTTAATCTGTTTATCTCATGAGCTTATGCTAATTTCTCCTAAATTAGTATTGTTCTCTATTTGTAGGTCTTGGAATCCCTGTGATTGGTTCTTCATCTATCTTGCATGATATTCTCTACTGATTCTTGAGATATCCCTTTAATTAAGGTTGGTTTCGTGTTTATCCTTGCCTATAGCATGTTACTCCGCTCGTGTGTGATATTTTCCTTTGATAAATATTGATTCCCTGTAATTAGAACCTCACTCGAGGATCTCCTTACTGATTTCCGGAATTTGAAATATCTCTTGCCTTATTTCTCTGGTTGATTCCGCTGTCAAACTAATTTGTATATATTTTCCTTAAATAGGATTTTGAACTAGACCTTAATTGCATGCTTTATACCTATATTACACTTGTGCTACTTCCTTATTGTGTTATAAGCAACTTTACTTGATTCCTTTCCTTATTTTGCCACTGCTTCTTACCGTTTGAGTATGATTCCTTAATTAAAGGAAGTCTATATACTAAATGGATTCTAATTAATGTTTATTCCTATAATTACTGTTGAACTATTATTTTTACCATATTCTTCTGCCCACTTTCAAACTATATATACTCTATTCATTCATTAGCATAAGGACGAAAAGAATCTGTTCAACTCTCTCTCACACAACTAAAACTCTCTATTCTCTCTTTTGTGCTACTTGCTACTGTTCTAAGCTAGCCGGCTGCAAGCAAAGGATAACTACTGCGCCTCTCTTATTTCTGCTTTGTGTTTTTGCTTTCTTCACTTCACTGGTATGTTCTAATTCAGATTTCAGTCCTCAATCCAACATGTTTCTATTACTGTTACAATTTCTTGTATTTCTGATATGCTTTTATTTACTATTTTTGCTGTTCAATATGTAATTAGGATCCTGAATTCCCTCTAAATGTTAAGTTATGTTTTACTTGTTAATGACCAGCATGTTTCTGTATACTTAGTACATGTTTCTTATGTGAATCCTCATGAATGATACGTTAGTTTGATCATGGTCTTAGTTGTTTGGTGTTGATATGTTAATCTAATCCAATACCCTACTGTCCCCCCCTGATCTTCTGAACATGTAGGAGTTTCTGATTGTGTGCTCGTATATGTTCCTGCCTGCTACATGTTTGCCCTCATATGCTCCATATTTATC